TATATTTTTTTGTATCATCTGTTTTGCCTCTTTTTGGTTGCAGATATATAATGCTTTCAGTGATTCATTCTAAAGTTCAATGGGGTTATTAATTGGCATTGCTCATTTTTGCGCAAGAGTTTTAGGGATCAAAGACAGATGATAGAGCCAAAAGTTGGATACCTTGTCATTTCCTAGGGGTTTCCATTTTTTAGAATTTTGCTAGAGCTTCCCTAACATTAGTCTTGGTTATATTTTTCATTCTATTATTATTATTATTATTATTGTTATTTTATTTTCTTTGATTTATGGTGTGTACACATTTAGTTCCGGGTCAGAAATGGCATCATGATATTTTACACTAATATATATATATATATATATATATATATATATATATATTTAAAGATATTTTTTGTAGGTACAAAATTTAATGATCCAAATAAAAGTATAAAATTTAATATTACAAGACATATTAAAACAATATTAAATAATAAAAAAACCAAAAAAAACCCTCAACAACAAGGGGGGGGGGAGCAACCGGTTCGGCTCCCGCTCGTCAGGCTTCCACAGGAGATTCAATATTAAAACAGAGAAATGTACAATGTGAATAGGTGGAAAAAAAAAAAATTATATATATATATATATTTTTTTTTTTAATTATTTAATATTGTTTTAATATGTTTTGTAATATTAAATTTTATACTTTTATTTCGATCATATATATATATATATATATATATATATATATATATATATATATATAAATACAAATATAGGTAACTATTCTCGTTTCGAAAAACCTTCAATTTTTGATCTGCCAATAATCAAATCAATCACGAAAACAAAAGGTTTAAAAAAAGAAAGAGCTAGAAACATGAAAGTCTGTCTGAAAAAAATCCTTTGATACAGATTTAAAGCCCAAAGAAAAAAACCCCGACACGAGTAAACAACTAACAAAAGAGTTCACTAGGTTTATCTATCTATCTATCTATCTATCTATCTATCTATCTATATATATATATATATATATATATATATATATATATATATATATATATAAGATAAAAGCCCTTAGTAAGGTGTAGGCTGTATTCGTGAGAGCAATTTTTGTATTTCTTTAAGTCATAGGATTCCAGGAATCCCTTCAATTATTCTACTTGAATATTTTCAACCAACCGGAGGGCTCCAACTATAACAGGGATTGTTGATGTTCCCATGTGCCACATTTTTTAGATTTCGATTTCAAGGTCCTTGTATTTTGATAGGTTTTTGAAAATCTCAAAAGATACATTGCAGTCCGCAGGGACTGCCATATCAATTGGTTTCTGGCGTTTACACATTTCGTTCCGGGTCCCGCCCAGTGACCTAAGATTAGAAATGGCAACATGACATTTTCCACTGAGCAAATACAAGAAAAAAAAACACATATTTTACATAGATAAAACCCTTCGTAAAGAGTGAGCTGTACACGTGAGAACAACTTTTTGTATATCTTGGTCAACGGCTTCCAGGAATCCCTTCAGTTAGTGTACTGGAATGTTTTCCAACCAATCTTAGAGATCCGACTACAACAGGGATTGTTGAAGTTTCCATAAGCCACATTTTTGCGATTTCGAATTCAAGATTCTTGTATTTTGACAGCTTTTAGAAGAACTTCAAAAATTCATTGCAGTCTGTAGGGACTGCCATATCAATAAGGAGGCACGTTTTTGTTTGTGGTCTCTAATAACAATGTCTGGCCGATTTTATTTGATTCTTCTTCTTCTTCTTCTTCTTCTTCTTCTTCTTCTTATTATTATTATTATTATTATTATTATTATTTTCCTTTAAATTCTTTTGTTTACTCCTTTACTTCCGAGTCGTACCTAAGGTAAATAATATCATCATAACATTTTCCATTGAACATTTTTGCAAAAAATAAAATAAAATAAACAAGCTTAAATCAGGCACATTTACTATAAATAAAGTCCTTCGTAAGGCGCAAGATATACTCGTGAGAAAAAAATTTTGTCTTTGTTTAAGGCCTGGGGTAACAAGGACCACTTCAATGGGTTTATTAGAACATTTTCCAATCAAACCCGGCACCCCAATTACAACTGGAATTATTGATGTCTTCATGACCCATTTTTTATTTTTATAGATTTCCTCTTCACGATCTTTGGAATCTGGTAGTTTTTTAAAGATCTTCTAAGATACATTACAATCTGCAAGAAAGTACATGGCAATAAGAAAGTGCATTTTGTTTTGTGTGGTCTTTGATAACTTTGTCTGGACGATGAGCTTTCATTGCTCTGCCTTTGTTCATTGTAATATCTCATAAAATTGTTACATGTCCCGTAATCGGATCTTAGTGATGTCCATATAGATTTCTTGTATTTTCTTCCAGAAACATCCTGTCCAATTTTTTCATACTCGGTGGATGCTATTACCGTGAAACCTCATACGAGATGATCAGTTGTTTCTGGATATTCATCACAGAATCTGCATTTGGATTCAACAAACATTTCAATTATGTCTGCTTAATAATTTCTAGTTATCAAGCATTAGTCAAAATCTCAAGTTTCGGCCTTTCACCGGGCACTAGGCAACTATAAATTTGTATGGAGGTTTTCTACATCGGCTTGTTTCTCATTAGCAGTGTATTATTATTATTATTATTATTATTATGTCATGATGGCATTCTGATGTGGGAATGAGGTTAAGGCCGGTAACTTTTCAGCACTCTTTCAGCAGTCAGCTGTATTAAAAAGGATAGTTTTTATTTCGTTATTAATAAACTGATCCCCAAGAATCCTCATCATTATTCGACCGTAGTCGGTATCATGGAGCCAATGCGAGAGATCGCATCTTTAGTTGTATAGCATGTGCTACGCCGGAGCTACATACAGTTTTGAACTTGGAGTTACTTTTTCTTTTAGATCGGTTGCCATCCAAGGCTATAGAACCCAGTCTGCCCTGCTATTTACCATAGCTGAGAGAAGAAGAAGATTCACACCTTTCCCAAGGGTATTAAAACCTAAGTGAATGTAATGGATCCGACTGGAATTCGACCGTACATAATTTCTCGTTTGCAAGAATTTGTCTTGTCCAGAGATATTAAAAGGTTTGTTTTCAGCTATTATTATTATTATTATTACTATTATTATTATTATTATTATTATTATTATTATTATCTTTTCTCATTGTCAGGCTCGCACATCCTTGCAAATTTCATTCACTATTTCCATTATTCGAACTATTGTCATCATCTTTGTCGCCATATTTATTACAACGTTTCGGCTGTTGTACGCTCCAGCCTTCTTCAGGTGGTTGGAATGTCGAACTAAGCTCTTTATTTCGCTCTAGTTCCACGTGACATGTTTAATGGATGTTAGTTATAAGTTATCTCCTGGTAATTCCCCTCTCCAAGTTCTCCGCCTGAGCCGGGCATTGAACTCACACTCTTTGGGGCCTGTCACTGGATCTAACCAACGCCTTTATCCACTGTGCCATGTGTCCTTGAAATAAAGGGTTCAGTTCGACATTCCAACTACCTGAAGAAGGCCGAATCTTACAGCGGCCGAAACGTTGTAATATATATGGCGACAAAGATGAGGACAATAGTCCGAATAATGTAAATAGTGTACATAATACCTCATCTCAGAAATATAGACAAATACTGAAAGGCCGAAACGTTGTAATAAATATGGCGACAAAGATGAGGACAATAGTCCGAATAATGTAAATATTGTACATAATACCTCATCTCAGAAATATAGACAGATACTGAAATGCAGAAACGTTGTAATAAATATGGCGACAAAGATGAGGGCATGAATAATGGGCAATAGTCATCTCAATAATGACAAATAGAAAGGCCAAAACGTTGTACATAAATACCTCATCTCAGAAATATATCTCAGACAAATACTGAAAGGCCGAAACGTTGTAATAAATATGGCGACAAAGATGAGGACAATAGTCCGAATAATGTAAATATTGTACATAATACCTCATCTCAGAAATATAGACAGATACTAAACGGCCGAAACGTTGTAATAAATATGGCGACAAAGATGAGGACAATAGTCCGAATAATGTAAATAGTGTACATAATACCTCATCTCAGAAATATAGACAGATACTGAAGTTTCATTCATTTTCAACTCAAAAGAAAACAATTGTAAAAACGAGAAATATAACTTCTGACTTTAGTTTTACTCATAGCGACACTTCTTTCCTGCTTTTATGTCCCGTGTCCCTCAGGACATAAGCGATCATGGCTCTCCACTTCACCCTATCCCTTGTAGCTCTCAAAAAGTTTCGTCCCTCTGCCACCTCCACCAGACCACGTTCTGTTATCCACTTGCTTGAGGCCTCCAGGTATGTCAGGCGTTGATTTCCCTTGTCTCTCTTTCCCTCTATTCGACCTGTGAGTATCAGATTCTCCAATCCCTCCTTTCTCATTACGTGTCCCAGAAACTTCAGCTGCCTCTTCCTGATGTTAAGTATAAGCCTCCTCCTTGTTTGCATCCTCTCAAGAGCCTCATCGTTGCTCACACAATCGGTTCGTGATATCCTTAGCATCCTTCTGTAGAACCATACTTCCTTTGCCTCGAGTTTCTTCTTCATCTTTGAGGATACCGTCCAGCAAGGAGGATAGGTATCACATAGCAGCTCAGTATTCTTTCCTTTGTTACCAAAGAAATCCTCTTCTCTTGCAATACTCTACCCAGCTTTTGGAATGCGTCTTTGACCATCCCAACACGTCTACGGTTCTCGGCGTCGCATTTACTGTCCTCAGTCAAAACACTTCCCAGATATTTAAACTTCCGCACCTGCCTGTTTTTAGTGTCTCCGACCTGCAAATCGCATTTCGGGCTCGTCTTTTTACTGATGACCATGCATTATGTCTTCTTGTTTTTGTATATGCTTAGCCCCTTCTTCTCGCTCTCGTTCGCCACCTTCTGTAGGAGGTTTTGTCATTTCTTTTCCGTGTCTGATATCAGTACTACGAACTGATGTTGCTGGCAGCCGACTCAGACCAACCCACTTGACATAACAGGGTCAGAAGAGAATTCTGTCGATCGAAATAAAAAAGAAAGAAAATCAGTGAGGGAAAGGGGGAAAAAATGAAAACCAGAGAAAGAAAGAGAAAACAAAAAGAAAACAAAAGAAGAAAAGAAAGCCAGTGAGATGAAGACAAAAGTGAGAAAGTCTCCTCTGATAAAGAAGTCAGCGAGCGAAAGAATCAAGCGGAGAAACAAGTGAAAGTAAAAGGAAACAAATGAAAGAAAGAAAGAAGAGAAAAAGCTAAATATTGAAAGAGTAAAGACAGATATAGATAAAGATAGATAGATAGATAGATAGAGTGAGAGAGAGAGAGAGAGAGAGAATGCTACGAGAGCACAGAAAGGAAAGAGCGAAAAAGAGGGAAAGAAAGGAGGAACAAAGAGAGCGAAAGACAAATAGAAAACTAGTGAAAGAAAGAGAAAAAAAAGATTATAAGCCAGAGAAGGAGATAGAAAGCCGCTGAGAGAAAGAAAGAAAAAGAAAGAAAGAAAGAAAGAAAGAAAGAAAGAAAGAAGGCTACTGAGAAAAGACAGGGAGAGAGACAAGTAAACAGAGAGGGAAAGAGAAAAGAAAAGAAGAGGTAAATGGTCCCTGAAAGATCAATCCTTCGGAATAAATATAAATAGAGATATAAAGAAAATAGAAAGAGTGGAATGAAGAGAGAATGAGAGAGAGAGAGAGCGATTATCTGAGAGATTTAGAGAATTCCTGAGAGGGAGAAAGGAAGATAAAGTAAAAAGAGAAAATAATGGATAAAATGTACTTCGACGTGAAAGACCATTCGAGAAATGAGAGAGAGGGAGAGAGGGGGGGTAATAGAAATGAGAAGAGGGGACAGAGCCCATGAATGAAATATAAAAAAGAGAAAAGGAAAGTGGAAAAGAGAGAGAGAGAGAGAGAGAGTTAGAGAAGGTGAAAGTAGTAAAAATGAGACCAAAGAGAGAGTCCATGAATTAAATATGAGAGAGAGAGAAAAAAAAAGGGGGCAAAGAGAGAAACAGAGAGAGGAGGGAGCGAGTGAGAAGTAGTAGTAGAAATTACAGGGGAGAGAGAGAAACTATGAATTAAATATAAGAGAAAGAAAAAGAAAGAGTAAAATAGAGAGAGAGAGAGATAAAGAAAAAGCTGTAGAAATGAAAGGTAGTGAGAGAGAGAGAGTCCATGAAGTAAATATGAGAGAAAAAGAAAGAGGAAAATATAGAAAGAGAGAGAGAAAGAGAAAGTAGTAGGAAAGAGAGTGACAAACCATGAAAGAAAAGGGGAAAGAGAAATAGAGTAGAAAAAAGACCATGAATAAAAGGGAAAGAAAAGAGAGAGAGAGATAAAGAGACCATAGAAAAGAGAGTGAAAGGGAAAGGGGAAGAGAGAGAGAGAGAGATAAAGAAAGAGAAAAGAGAATAAGAGACCATGAGTGAAAGGGGAAGAAAGAGAGAGAGAGAGATAAAGAGAAGTAGTAGAAAAGAGAGTGAAATGGGGAAGAAAAAAAGAGAGAGAGAAATAAAGAAAAGAGAGGAAGACCATGAATGAAAGAAAAGAAAGAGAGAGAGTAGAAAAGAAGTAGAGACCATGAGAAAAAGGGGAAAGAAGAGAGAGAGAGAGATAAAAAGAAAGGGGGGGAGAAAAAGAGAGAGAGAGAGAGAGAGATAGGACGTAAAAAAGAGTAAATGACAATGAGAGAAAAGGGGAAGAGAAAAGAGAGGAGAGAAAAGAAAAGAGAGAGACCATGTGAAAGGGGGGGGAGAAGAGAGAGAGAGAGGAAGTAAAGAGGAAGTAGTAGAAAAGAGAGTAAGAGTCCATGAGTGAAAGGGGGAAGAAAAAGAGAGAGAGAGAGAGAGAGAACATGATAGGACGTAGTAGAAAAGAGAGTAAGAGACCATGAATGAAAGGGGGGAAAGAAAGGGGAAAAGAGAAAGAGAGAGAAAAAGAGGAAGAGATCATGAGAGAAAGGGGAAAGAAAAGAGAGAGTAAGTAGAGACCATGAGAGAAAGGGGGAAAGAGAAAGAGAGAGAGAGAGAGAGAGATAAAGGAGAGAAAGGGGGAAAGTAGTAGAAAAGAGAGTAAGAGACCATGAGTGAAAGGGGGAAAAAGAAAGAGAGAGAGAGATAAAGGAAGTAGTAGAAAAGAGAGTGAGTAAGAGACCACGAGTGAAAGGGGGAAAGAGAGAGAGAGAGAAGAAGTAGTAGAAAAGAGAGTAAGAGACCATGAGAAAGGGGGGAAAGAGAGAAATAAAAGAGAGATAAAGAGGAAGTAGTAGAAAAGAGAGTGAAAGACCATGAGAAGGGGGGGAGAGAAAGAGAGATAAAAAAGTAGTAGAAAAGAGAGTAAGAGACCATGAGAGAAAGGGGGAAAGAGAAAGAGAGAGAGAGATAAGGAAGTAGTAGAAAAGAGAGTAAGAGATCATGAGAGAAAGGGGGAAAGAGAAAGAGAAGAGAAAGAGGGAGACTAATGAGATAAAAAGGAAGTAGTAGAAAAGAGAGGGAGAAAGAGATCATGAGAGAAAGGGGGAAAGAGAAAGAGAGAGAGAGGAAGGAAGTAGTAAAAGAAAGAGAAAGAGAAAGAGACCATGAGAGAAAGGGGAAGAAAAGAGAAAGAGAAAGAGAGAGAGATAAGGAAGAGAGAAAGGGGAAAAGAGAGAGAGGGAGAGAGAAAAGAGAGTAAGAGATCATGAGAGAAAGGGGGAAAGAGAAAGAGAGAGAGAGATAAAAAGGAAGTAGTAGAAAAGAGAGTAAGAGACCATGAGAGAAAGGGGGAAAGAGAAAGAGAGAGAGAGATATAAAGAGGAAGAAGTAGAAAAGAGAGTAAATGACAATGAGAGAAAAGGGGGAAGAGAAAGAGAGAGGGAGATAAAGAAGAAGTTATAGAAAAGAGAGTAAGAGACCACGAGTGAAAGGGGAAAGAGAAAGAGAGAGAGAGAGATATATAAAGAGGAAGTAGTAGAAAAGAGAGTAAGAGACCATGAGAAAGCGGGGAAGAGAAAGAGAGAAATAAAAAAGTAGTAGTAGAAAAGAGAGTAAGAGTCCATGAGAGAAAGGGGGGAAAAGAAAGAGAGAGAGATAAAGAGGAAGTAGTAGAAAAGAGAGTGAAAGACCATGAGAAGGGGGGGAGAGAAAGAGAGAGATAAAAAAGAAGTAGTAGAAAAGAGAGTAAGAGACCATGAGAGAAAGGGGAAAAGAGAGAATGAGAGAAAAAGAAAGAGGATGTAGTAGAAAGGAGAATAAAAAGCCATGAAAGAAAGGGGGAAAAGAGAGAGAGAAAAAGGAAGTAGTAGAAAAGAGAGTAACAGACGATGAAAAGAGAGAAAGAGAAAGAGAGAGAGACAGAGAAGGAGAGAGAGAGGGGGAGGTGGAATATGTTCAATTTTCACTGTCTCGAGATTTACCCATACACATGGAAATAACTAATTATGACATACATTATAAATTCCCATCTCCCACCACGAAGTCGTAAGGTTGAGATTTTAATTTAACCTGACAAAAGAAGATGCCAATAAGCAAATTGCAGTCAGAATTTGAGGACAGGTTAAAATTCCAACATTTGTCGGGGCTCCCCCACTGAACTATTGCCTGCCGGTGGTTCATTATTAGTTATTCAAATATGATGGAGACGTATGTGCTAACAACGAATTATATCCGATTATGAACCGACTGTCTCCATTAGAATTTTGCAGCAAGGGTTGTAAGAAATATTACAGGTTTCAATAATTAATGACAGTTTAAAAACAGTAAATGACATTTCTCTGGGGAGAAGATATTTTATCAGGAGGGAGGGCGTGTAAAAAATCTATGACGTAAATATTGTTATAAGAAAAAATACATTTACCAATAAATATTATATTTTTAATAATTTCACCTGAAAGTAAGGAAATAAAGCCACTAAGACACAAGGAGATACTAGTGAGATAAATTATGAGAAAGGAATATATTATTAAGTAGAGAGGACAATAAAAGAACAAAGGTTCAGAAGATAAAGATTGACAATGAATTCTTGAATAGCAAAATTGACTGGGAACAAAGAAGGGGAAGAGAGTTCCACAAGCAAGAAGTGCGATAGAAGAAATTGTTAGCAGCGACACTATTGTTAAATCTAGCCATTACCACTATAAGATGACGAGACCTTGCCGCCAATCTAGTACTGCGCTTAAATTCATAAAGTCTAGGTACTATAAAGGAAAGTCCATCCGAATAAATAGCGTGAAAGAATTTATCAAAAAAGCACAGGGAAGCTACGCTATTCTGGTGAGAAATATACTAATGCTGAGATGACAGGTCAGGACCAATAACATTGCAGATACTTTTTGGATTTTATCAAGAATCACTAAATACATGGCAGACGCACAAGGCCATATGTGGCAGCAATATTCACAGCAAGGTCGAATATGTGGCAGCAATATTCACAGCAAGGTCGACTAATAAATATGTGAGATTGTTTGCGAGAAAGATGGTCCAGTACGAGACAGTCATCTTTTCTGTCGTTTGAATATAATCTTTCCATTCATGCTAGCAGAAAGTTTTAACTAACTTCGTACCTACATATCAGCAGTGACATATTCTTATTTTCATTTTCTTAGGGTGCAGTTTTCTTTTAAACTAATATTCATTCAGTATAGTGCTTCAGAGCCACAAAATCCAAATAAGGGTCTGTAAAATCCAAATAAGTGTACTGTAAAATTTAAATATGTGTCTGCCAAATCCAAATAAGTGTTTTTTAAAATCCAAATAAGGGTCTGCAATATCGAAATAAGTGTCTGTAAAATCCAAATAAGCGTTTGTAAAATCCAAATAAGTGTTTGTAAAATTCAAATGCCGTTAAGTAAAGTCCAAATAAGGGTTTGTAAAATCCAAATAAGGGTTTGTAAAATCCAAATAAGGGTTTGTAGAATCCAAATAAGTTATACATTTCTGAAGAAAATCAATATTACCAGGAAAACTTTATTAGCAGCAAAGTTTCCTTGTTTAAATTGGTGAATGATGCCATAATCCTTACCTTCAGTTCATTTTTGGTGTTACAAGAAGTTTTGTTGGTCTCTCTCTCAAATGTGCCTCAAACATAATAATCAAAGCACATGATGTAGGCCTCTGTGTTGAGTGTGAGGCCCTCACCAACAAATTCTGGAGTTCTTTTCTTATCAAAACAATCACAGTGAGTTTTCCGAGGTGCCGTACCTTCGTAATCACCATTAGAGACATCAAACTCTTTTCGAATCCTCTGCATTGTTCTCAGGCTAATACCCAAGACTCTGAAATTTCCGTATTGAAGCTTTCGGTGCGAATGCCAAGCAGTACACAATGCAGTTTTCAAATTTCTGGCTGATTGAATTGTAACATGATGATCTTTTTCTTACAGATTTATAATAACATAATGATTTTTTTGTTTTACTCTTTTTTAGAACAATAGAAATTTTGATTAAAAACTTGTTTTCCTTGTGTCAGTGGTTGTACTAATTTTTAGCATAGCAAATTTTGGCCTCATTTTTTTCGGTGACTAAACACATTAATTTGGAGATTCGTGCAAAAATCAAATAATTTTCGGATTTTAATGAAAATAGCAGAATTTATTCACAAATGAATTAAATTACTTTCTCAGTTTTTTTATTAGAAAATATTGGTAATTTTTTGGAAGTTTTTCTGTTTTTCTGCCCCTTAATTAATTTTATGAAACCTTGAGAAATTCAACGAGAGAATTTTAGTGACTATATTAGTTAAAAGCAGAATTCTTTCACTGATTTTTTTTTTTTTTTCAAACATCGGACTCAGTTTTACCGAAAATCTGTTCTGCATCGAAAAATAAAAAGCGTAATAAACTAAGAAAATTAATTAGAGAAACTTTTAATTGCTTTTATGATTACTATATATGAAAGACAATATTGTCTGAAGAAAAAAAATCGACGAAAAACGGATTTTTACAAGATTTGTTTTCATTTTTTTTACAATTTTAGATTAAATAATACATGTTTTTAAATCTTTTAAAATTCATTTTTAATGTGATAATTCAAAGGCTTGGTTGATTCCCGCATTTATAAGGACGACCTTTATTTCACGATTTGAAAGGACTGAGTAGATTAAATCAAACAGTTTTCCTGTAATACAATGGGCCTGAAGCGTATGTAGATGACCAGCATGTTAAACCCTGTCAAATGCCTTCGAGATATCAAGAGCTACGCCTCAAGCTTCGCCGTTCTTATCAAGAGCCTGTTATATATCTTCAGTTATGGCCATTAGCACATTAGCGGTAGACCGGACAAAGCGGAATCCATATTGTTTGTCAGCTAGTAGGTCTTGAAAGATAAGAATCTTAACCACTTCAGTATTGATTAAAGCCTCGAAGACTTTGCCGAAAAGCGGTAGGAGACTGATTTTGCGGTAGTTAGAGGGACCAGATGGTTGTCCAGAGTTCTTAAAATCAGGGACTACAGACGGGGACTTTAAACAAGCAGGAAGCATCGAGACTATAGTTGCATAGTTTGGAGAATAGAGCCAGCTCAGGAGTACCTTTTCGTCTGGGTATGACGATAAACTACATCCGTGTCCACGGTAAGACAATAAACTATGTCCTCTGATCAGGAGGTTTTGAGGAGCGTGGAATTTATGTTGTCTCCGAACATGAATATGTTTGCAGACGGGTGTAGGAAGAAGGATTTGTCTATCTTATCAATTGCTGGTGTTCCCAGGTTCACCATGGCCCGGGGTTGTAGCACCTGTTAGGGTCACAGCTAATGGCAAATAGTTAACACTTTTACTTGCATAAAATAGGTTTTAATACCAGAAATACTTTGTAATAAAAAAAAATTATTTCCAGCAATAATTTTTGAAGGAAAAATTATTAACAGTAATACTTTAAAAAAATACCAGCAATACAAACAGCTATACATTCTTTGGAAAAAAATATGACCAGCTATAGATTTCTTCAAGGAAATATATTCCCAGCAATAGATTTTTGAAGAAAAAACATTACCAGCAATAGACATTTTATCGGCATTAAATAACCCATTGATATTGATATGTCGTAAAAAAAAGAAAAAAAAACAATCAGGAGTACATTTATTTAGGACAATAGTTGATCTTCTGTCATCTCCACTTGCCTCATGGGGGTCTAATTTAGAAATGATTTTCAAGGCCAGCGACGGGATTATGTGCCTATCACTCAGTAGAGCATCAGTTTGAGAGGGGGAAATCAGTTATGGGTCATCCAGACTAATCAAGTGTTAAGTTGGTTTAGAATTTCCGAGTAAAGCTTTCAAACTTATCTGCTCTGGATGTCAGGACATCGAATTGTTTGGGATTGAGGATTTTCTGTTGTTCAACACACTCTTGCATAGACGCCAACAATCTCTTGAACCGAACTTGTTAGATGCTATACGCTGATTCATTTTGTCAGCAGACAGTAATTTGGCTTCATTGAGGA